CTTCAGCTCAGGTCATGATCCCAGGGTCCTGGGATCGAGTCCTGCATCGGGCCTGCTTCTTCCTCTCCCACTCTTCCTGGTTTTTTTTTTTTTTTTTTTTTTTTTTTAAGATTTTATTTATTTATTTGGCAGACAGAGATCACAAGTAGGCAGAGAGAGGGGGAAGCAGGCTCCTTGCTGAGCAGAGAGCCCGATGCGGGGCTCTATCCCAGGACCCAGGGACCATGACCTGAGCCGAAGGCAGAGGCTTAACCCACTGCGCCACTCAGGCGCCCCTTCCACTCCCCCTGTTTATGTTCCCTCTCTTCCTGTGTCTCCCTCGTCAAATAACTAAAATCTTTTTTTTTTTAAAGAAAACTTGATGAAAGAAAGATAAGAATAATGCCTGCTGGATTTTAACTTGTAGGCAGTTGAATATACAGATACTGCTTAACAATATGCAGTATCTTAACATAAAGTTATTTGTTGAGTTAACAGTAAGGTATTTGCTGTCACCACTGCCCTAGAGGAAAATGCCAGAAAGATACCAATTCTTTATCCATAATTTATTATCTTTCATTTGGTCTTAAGATTGCATCCTATCCTTGAACAAGAGCTGCAGATAGTCAAATGAGTTACAAGCATCCAAGTAAAAGAACATCCATAGGTGATGGCTGGGGGCTGCATCATAGCCAGCTCTTGCCATAGCTGGTAATCACTTCTGAATAAAGACTCCTCATGGTTAAGTACTTCTCATCCTCTCTAACATGGTGTTATTACTATTAATGAAAAATCCACGTGTCATTCTAGGTTTCCCCAAATTGACCTTAATTTAATGTAGTCAAATTAAATAAAATTGATATGTTCTCCCATTTCTCCCATGTTAAGAAAGGGATGGAAGAACAGTAAAAAGATCACCCAGTGGGGCACCTCAGTGGCTCAGTGGTTTAAGCCACTGCCTTCGGTTCAGGTCATGATCTCAGGGTCTTGAGATGGAGCCCCGCATCGGGCTCTCTGCTCAGCGGGGAGCCTGCTTCCCCCTCTCTCTCTGCCTGCCTCTCTGCCTACTTGTGATCTCCCTTTCTGTCAAATAAATAAATAAAATCTTAAAGAAGAAGAAGAAGAAGAAGAAGGAAGAAGGAAGAAGAAAGAAGAAAGAAGAAAGAAGAAGAAAAGTACCTTAAAAAAGAAAAAAGATCATCCAGTAAGGAGTGCAAGGCTTAACGTAAGTGCTCCAAAGGGCACCCAGATTCCATAGTGAGAACCTGAGGAAAAAATCCTACATGACAGACACCTGGTTCCTTAAGATCTCCTGAAGTTAGGGCTGCTGACAGACTTGAGTTGATTTCTTGAGATAATCTATTGGTGTAATCTTTAAGATCTGTCTTGTATTTGCATTGGGCTGTTTTAGGATAGCAGATGACTAAAATGCCAGTCACATTTCTTGAGTGCTTACATTTGTCTAAGTACTTCACATGTAATCCTCCCCACTTTACAGATGCAGAAACTGGGCCATAGAGAGGCATAACTTACTTGTTCAGGGTGACATAGCTAGAAGTGTAGGATTCAAAGCCAGGCATTGGGAGTGAGATGAGAGCTTGTGCTCCGTGAAGGTCCGCACCCGCCCCTTCAAGGCTAAGACCAGGACTTGAGTCCCCTCCCCAACCCAGGAAGAGACATGACTTAGAAGTTTGCGGTTTTCCTTTCAGGCATACTATGGGGTTTTTAAAAAACAAGGTTGGCATAGTTAAAAATATACTGTGAATGTATAAAATTATATGTCTGAATTTTTAAACTTTGCTTGAGACAGCCCTTATATTTACCATGTTATTACAAAGCCCTCATGGATACCCTTAATAATGACTACAGAGTCTGCCATGTGGACGTGTGTGTTCTACTCTCTCGCTCCAGGGTATTTGGCTTCTAAGTTCTCTTTTGTTTCTCTCCCCTCTTCCTTTATTTTTAGTAAGACCTGTCAAGTATCTTTTGTCTAAAGCTTTCTTTGCCTTTAAAATTGCTTTTTAATAAGATCCCAAGGGTGAAATTGAATTAGCGTATGTCATTTTCAATTGGTTGATAGATGTTGTTGCTGAATTGATTTCACTAATGAATTATATATCAACTTGCATATTATCATCAGTGTATGAGAGTACTCATTTTACCTAATCCTTATAAGCACTAAGTATTCTCTTAAAGAAAACAAGTAATAAATTCTGTTGTACTTGTAAAATTTTGCATTTCTTACACACCTCGGCTACTTTTCATATTCTAAACAGCTTTGGTGCATTTTTCTGTGAATTAGATAGAAAGAGACAATATTGTGAATGTACTAAATGCCACTGAATTGTTCATTTAAATGGTTAATTTTATGTTCTGTGAATTTCTCTTCAATAAAAAGTGCTTGTGTACCTGTGTATGCATGTGCAAATGTGTCTGTGTCTGCCTTGAGTGTGAACTCTCAGGCAGGGAGAACTGCTGTGTCATGCTTTGGCAGTGAGCGTCGGGATGCGACACTTTCCTGTGTAATGCTCTCAGAGACCGAACTGAATGTGTAATGCATACTGCTCTTCTTCCCGCCAGTTATTTTGTGCATTGCTGACAAATTTGAGCATATAATGGATTAACACTGAGTGATAGTGTTTGACCCACCTTGAAGGCAGGGTATCCTGCTAGGTGTTAACATGCAGGTTTTATGGCTGCCTGAGGAACAATCAAATAAGCAGGGCAGGAAAGAGAGGTAAAGATCAAGCCAGTTAGGAAACAGTGGAGACGGCCTGACATTGTGAAGGGCATCCATAAGCATCCCCATGTCCTGGGAAGTGTGGCCAACAGTGGTGTGATTGGTAGCTAGAAAACCCCACAGTTAAAGTATTGCCCTAAGTGGAAGGAAGATGGCTGGTCAGAGCACTCGGCTGGGAATGCCTGTGTTCCCAGACCTCACCGAGCCCTAGTGATGCCCTCTCAGGACATGTCTTTCTGCCCTAGACAGGGCTATATTATTTCTTCTTTTTAAAGTAGTCTGCTGGTATCCTTTATGTCTTTCTGTATTGGGACTAAATGATTTTCATATGGTTTGTGGGAACTCTTTATTAAGACCACTAAACCCTTTGCCATTTGTTATTTATTGTAAATTATATTTCCAGTTGTTTGCTTTTGAAAATGTAGGGTGCTTGTGTTTAAATCTCTATAATGTATTAATTTCTGTGTTGTCCTGTCTGTTGATTATTTCTTTTGGTCTTATATCACCAATCTCAGCCTTTCCCTATCCGGTAATTGATAAATACATAATGTACTCTCTTCACTTAAAAACATTTCAGGTGGGGGGGGGAGGTCTGTATTCTAAGGTAGAAATCTGAATTATTCCCATATTGCTAGTTTCCTTAGCTATTCTTACAGGGGGACATTAGATTAGTTATATCCAGTTTGGGTTTTGATTTGAAGTGTGATAAATTAAAGGTTAATTTGGGAAGAATTAACACTTTTGTGGTATTTAGTCTTACCATCCAAAGGCCTGTTTTAATTTCTGATTTTGTTTTTCCTTTTCACATAGATTACACATATTTTTTATTAGAGGTTTTTTTATATTTTGATTTCTTATTTCTATTGTGAAAGTCTTTCCATGTGTTTTGACCATTATTGGTACCTAGAAATAGTTAATGGTTTTTGTATATTTATCTGGCAACTGGTCAGTTGCTCAGATTTATTCAATAATTTTCAGTTGATTCTCTTGGGTTTTCTATATATAATTATCTGCCTGCAAAAAAATTTTTCCCCAATAATTACACACCTTATTTGTTTTATTCATTTTTGCTTCTTTACTAGATAGACCTAGAAGGATATTAAAGGAGTCTCTTATTCCTAGAGATAAGAAATATTGAATTTTATTAGTTTTTGCTTCCATGAAGATAATCCTATGATTAAGATAATCATTGACTTCTTATATAATATGTTGTTTTGATTTTCCCTTTTGATTGCCTGACCCTAATGATGATTAATAGTACATTAGGATTTAACTCTGCTATTGCAATAAGCAGCAGGTCAGAGCTGCCTGCCAGTCCTTAAGGTAGAGCAGCATAATTTCACTTTTGCATAATTTTAACCCTTAAGAGAAATGGAAGAAAATGCATCTGAGTTTTTAATTTTTAAGGATGGGGTCTTTAATTTTAAATTATTTTGCTTCATTCAGGATGCCCAGATATAAACTTGAAGTAGCCTTTTTTTGGATATGCATAATATCACATTGAAAGTCTTTTATCTCTTCTGGGAGGAAATCAAAATCTGATTTTATATTGAGGAAACCAAAACAAGCTAGGTTATTGAATTTCCTGTTTCTAAATTAAAGATGACATTCTTCTCTGATGAGGAATCATAAACTTAAGAATATAATGATGTCCATCCCCCCTCTTTTGTACCTGGGAAGGGAAGGATTGAATTTGCAATCAGTGTCTTTATGTTTCATGTAATAAAAAAATAATAAAATAATAGCTGAAATTTCTTGAGCACTGAGTGTGTGTCAGACACTATCCTGTAGACTTTGTGTATTAACTGACCTGTTCTCCATAATTGTGAGGAAGGGCTGTTAATTCCCCTTTTATAGAAGGAGAAACTGAAACAGACCAACTGAATTGCCTGAGGTTCATTGCTTATAGGGACAGAGCTGGGATTTAATTGCAAGAAGGCAGAATATTTGAGTCCTTTTGTTTTTTGAAAATACTGTTTTATTAACACTACAGTGGTAAACAACTTGTTGTTTCTTTATAGATCACTGAGTCACACAAAATTCAAAACCCACAAAGAAGCTAAGAGTCTTTACATTTAACGTGTCCTTCCTGAAAATCCTTAACTGTATACCAGTCTGTCCTCAAGCAGTACAATTTGAATATGCACCATTTTTTTAATTTAATATGTCACATTTACATAGCAAAATAATGAAGGCACAGCTAATACAAGCAAACTTAAACCCTTCTACTTCTGAGCTGGGGGTGGGGACACACACTTGGATTGGTTCTTCAAGTATTTACTTTTTCCAAACATTAGCTTCATTGAAGAGTTCTGATAATTTTCACAGCTACATTCTAAAAGCTACATGACAAAGACGACTTCACAAGGATCAAACTACGTAACACTGAATACATGCTTTACAGGATTTGCTACATTCTACATCTTTTCAAGTAAATTAATATTTCTAGAATGCTAGGTAAAGGGATTTAATACTTAAACATTTGTGGTTTTTTGTTTGTTTTTACACCTTTGTAAATAGACACTACCAAGAAAACACATAAACATGAGACTGTAAATAATGAACACATATGTTGACAGTATTATACAGGTTATACACCCTCCTTCTCAGAACCATGTTGCTTGTCTAAACTCAAATATTCAGAACATTCTTTAGAATTTGAAGTGGCAGTTTTCCAGGCCTCATTAAACAGTACTGTCATGATCTCCATCACAGGCTTCCAGGATTCCATCACTGTTCTCCAAAGTGTAAAGCTGATGGGTTACAAGCAAAGTCTTAAAGATGAGATTCTTCTGGGTTCTGTTTTTTCTGCACTGGAAAATGTCCGGACTAGAGAAACTGAAGAGTTAAGCGTTGAGAACATGTTCAGTCTTGGTCTGGGTGTTGTGTGTGTAGTGTGATGACAGTGGAATGAATAGGTTTCAAAGTGACATTCTTTACTTCACATCTACTTGACACCCTTAATAAGTCTCAATTGCAGTCTGTGCAGAAGAGATCATGAAAAAAAATCATTTTTAATATAACTTGTTTTCTTCAACACCTTTTGATATATTTATTGTGTTCAAAATGAAAAATTTGAAACAGGCTGGCCAGGATCTGATTGCTTCAATTTACTATAATTTTAGGTAGGAACACCAGAATTGATTTACATTGTATTTTGGTCCCAAACCTGAGCCTTATTAAGTCCACCAATATTGGAAAAAAAAATAGTGATTTTGTTTCCGTCATTCTCCTCCTCAATCTCTGCCCCCGCTTATTTCTTGGCGTCATCAGGCACTGCAGAGTGGGGACCCTCATCTTTGGCCGCCGCCGCCTCCGCAGCAGCCTCTGCCGCAGCTTCCTCCTCCTCCTCCTCCTCCTCTTCCCCCTCCTCCTCATCCTCGTACTCTTCCTCGTCGTCGTCCTCCTCCTCCCCCTCCAAGGTCCATGCACACCCCTCCATCTCACCGGTGAGCTCCTGGATCTTGGCAAGTAGGGGCTTATAGATGTCGTTATACTTTTTTTCCAGAGCCTGAAATTCCTTATCAAATTTGGCTTCTATCTTATCGCATCGCTTCTGCAGCTTTTTGAGGGCCAGGACTCGGCATTTCACCGAATTAGGCAGGCTCTCGATAAAGTCATTTTTAGGCTTTGGTGCATTCTCCGCGGGGGTCTGGGGCTCCTCCACCGTCTGACCCGCCGCGCTGTCAGAGTCACCAGCCGCGCTGTCGGAGTCTCCCCCCTGCGCACCGCCTTCCGCCATTACCTCCTCCGCCGCCGCGGCCGCCTCCGCCGCCGCTGCCGCTGCCGCCGCCTGGCTTGGCTCCGCGGGCCCCTGGTTTTCCGAGTCAGCCATGATACCGGGGAAGCTGCAGAGGTCTAGGGTGGCTCCCGCAGAGACCTGCACCCGAGCTGCACCAGAGAGATCTTGCGGATGCGGCAAGTGGCGGTGACGTCGGCCGCGGCAGTGACGTCGGCCGCGGCCCCGCCCTTTTCTCGCCAGCCCTTGACTGGCTCCCTGCAATCAGCTGACGGCCTTGCCCCCCACACTGCGCCAGCTTCCCCCTGTTGCTACCCTGCCGTCTCCCTAGCACTGCAGCTGACGTCAAAACCGGTGTCTTGGATACCCTGCCCCCCATCCGCCCACATACCTGTCCCCCTCACCCTCCATAAAGCTGGGCTGGGAATGGCAGCAGGTGTCCAAGGCCCCTTCTTAGGAACTGCTTGGATGGCCTCAGCCTTTTTCAGTTTGCTCCTCTAGCCCACTCCGGTCCTTCTGTACAGCGGTCAGTACATCTGTCTTGGCCTTTGTCTGCATGACCCATGCTGGCATTGGTCTGGTGTCGCTGGCTTACTCTTGTGGAGTCGGCTTTGTCACCTCTCCGGTGCCTGCGAATTCCTTTCCAGAAAGCGAGGGCATGGGAGAGCTGGGTGCACGTGTGTGGAGAGGGCCGCTTGTATGTCCACATGCCCACGCAGCAGCCCTCGTTGGTCATTCCTCAGCTTAGCAGCATATGTATGCGGGGTAAGCTCTCTTAGCAAGAAGGACCTCGGAGCAGTTTTGGAGCCATTTGGATAGGAAATCTCGGGACCCTTGGTATTCTGGAGTATGTCCTAGAAGGTCCCTCGGAATCTTTGGCCTGCGGACAGGAATAAAGCTGGAGGCAGGCGGAAGAAAAGTCCTTCTAATGCCTGGGGTCCAGGGCAAGGGCCGCGTCTTCTCCATGTTAAAGCATGGAGCACTGTTCACTGGGGACACGGAGACACTCCTGTGAGCTCACAGACATGGGCCTCCAAGGCACTCCACAGTTCAGCATTTGCTTTGTGGTCTTGCTGGTGATGTGCATCTGAGAACATTTAAAAAAAGAAAGAAAAAGGAAAAGGTCTTAAAAAAAGAGAAATCTCCTCCTTTAATAGCAAAGTGAGTCCTCGTTTTATTTTACTTCCTTATCCTGCTTGTAAGACCCAATGATAGCTTCTTGAATAAGGATGAGGGCTCATATTTTAGGTATGGAAGAAGACATGATCCTTCCAGGGATTCCTTAGGAATGTTTTCAAATTCAGTGTTATTGATTCAAATGTTTGTCTTTCACTATATTGGGACTTGCTGAAGCTCTTCCATCAAGCATATGAATGTTAAGAAATTACTTCCCCAAGTACATTTGGTGTTATCTTATGGTTTTTAAGAATATTAAATTAATAATATGTAAAGCACTTAGTGCTGACACATAGCAAGCACTTAATGTGTTTCAGTGTTTTTTTTTTTTACAAACGACATTCATTAATATGCAAGAATAACCTGCAATAATATTCCCTTTTAAAAGGACATTTTAGTGCCCTTCCCCAAAGAAAGGAACCATTTACAAAATGCCTGATATATTCCCAATAGCAAACATTCTAGGTTTTTTTTGTTGATGTATTTGTGATTCTTGTTTTCTATTTTACTTTCTTAATTCTGCTGCAGATAATTTACTTTCCCTTTTCTGTTACCATTTGTAGCGACTGGGTTTTATTGTTAAGGCTGATATTTTAGTTTTAGCTCTGCCGGAATATAATGTGATAACACGTCTATATTTAGTTGGCTGACACTATACATATTCTAGATATCACCGATTGTTAGAAGGTGATCTCCCAAACTAAGAAGGCACGTTGAGATCAGAAAATGAAGCAGACTACTTCAAACAGTTGACACAGGGTTTTATACAGGGTGACTAACTGGTAGGGGGATCAGGCAGAGGATAAGCCATGGTAGTTGCAGAGTTACTTTACACATAATCCAGACCTTCATGCCCAGATTCTGGAGTGAGGAGATGCACAGAAGGGCACTGTGGTGAGACTGAAGGGTTTGATACACCTCAAAGGGCTTGCATGCAGCTAAGTGCTAACTAACCTTTAATTTGATCTTGTGATACTAGCGGTGCATTAGGAAGGGGAAAGACCGTTTTATCTCTAACAGATTCATGGGAGGCCAAAGCAGGCCTCCCCAGTCTGAGCCTTGGTGGGGAATTCTAGGGTATATATATTTTAATTTCCACGGGCCCTGAAACATGTCGCACCAAGAGTGGTCACAGCAAACATGAACAGGTGGAGGGCCAAAGATGGAGTCTGTCGTTAGCACTCCTAGCCCGTCTATTCCATTTATCATCTCTTGATGGTTGCAGGTACCTTGAGGTTAGGAATGCTTTTTGACATTTTAAAGATAAGGAACTTAGAAGCAGAAAAATAAAGCGAAATAAATATTTTGTTACCATATGTATTACTTGATTAGTAGAATCAGAGGCAGAAATGGGGCTTTCTAATGCCTATAGTGTAGAGGTTGTGACAGCCCAAATTTTAATAAAATCCATTTGACATATTTGACTTGCTTGAAACAAATAGGATGAGTTCATCTTTCAGGATGTTTATGTTGCTGTCTTTAAAAAACTTAAAATTTAGTGTTAAGCAGGCTACTTTTTTCAAATGTTCTGTTCTTTTGAGATATAATTCACAATATAATAGATATATTTTGTGTATAATAAAAAGATAATTTGTATTAATTGATGTGTAATAAAATTCACTTTGCTTTGGCAAATACAGTGATGTAAACACTACACTAATTGAGATGTAGAACAGTAACATCATCCCAAAAAACCCCTTCATAGGCCTTCCCTTACGGTCCAGCCCTGGTGATCACGGGCCCATCTCTAACATTTTTTTTTTCCAGAATGTCCAGAAATGGAAGCATATATGTGTAGAGTTTTGAGTCTGGCCTTTTTCATGTAGCATAATGCATTTGAGATTCATCCATGATGTTGTGTACACTAGTAGTTTGTTCCTTTTCATTACTGAGTAATATCCCCCTTTAGTTGTTTCTCATTTTTTGCGATTACAAAAAATGCTACAGTGAATATAAGTTTTTATTTCTCCTGGTTATGTACCTAGAAGTAGACCTGTTTGGTCATATGGTAAATGTATATTTAACTTTTTAAGAAAATTCCACAGTTTTCCAAAGTGACTATACCATTTTGCTTTCACACCACAGGGTATGAGTTAAATTATTCTACATTGTCAACAGCATTTGGTATCATTGGGCTTCTCCCCTCACCCCTCCATTCTAATAGGTGTGTGTGGTAACCTTAATGGCTAATGATGTAGAGTATCTGCCAATGTATTTATGTGTCATTCATAGATGTTCTTTGATGCAGTGTCAGTTTATATCTTTTGCCCACTTTCTGAGTTTTTTTGTTTTCTTATTTTTAATTGGTTTTATATATTCTAGATACAAGTCCTTGTGAAATACTTTCTTCCAGTCTATGGCTGTCTTTTTCTTAAAAACACAGAAATTTAAAATTTTGATAATTTTTTTTTCTTTTATGGATTGGGTTTTTGGTGTCATGTTTAAGAGATCTTTGCTAAATCCAAGACCATAAAGATTTGTTCCTATGTTTTCTTTATTTTTTTTTTTTATAGATTTTATTTATTTGACAGAAGGAGAGAGAGAGAGAGCACACACACAAGTAGGGTGGCGGGCAGAGGGAGAGGGAGAAGCAGGCTTTCTGCTGAGCAGGGAGCCCAATGCAGGGCTCGATCCCAGGATCCTTGGGATCATGACCTGAGGCAGCCCCTTAGTGGACTGAGCCACACAGGCATCCCTCTTTCTTTTATTTTTTGTTTAAATTCAGTTAATTAACATATAATGTATTAGAAGTTTCAGAGGTAGGCTTCAATGATTCATCATTGCATATAACACCCGTGCTCTTTATATCACATGCCCTACTTAATGCCCATCAATCTGTTACCCCATGCCCCTACCTCCCTCCCCTCCAGCAACCCTCAGTTTGTTTCCTATGATTAAGAGTCTCTTATGGTTTGTCTCCCTCTCTGATTTCAGCTTATTTTATTTTTCCCTCCCTTCCTCTGTGCTCTTCTGTTTTGTTTCTTAAATTCCACGTATGAGTGAAATCATATGATAATTGACATCCTCTGATTAACTTATTTTGGTTAGCATAACACCCCTAGTTCCATCCACGTTGTTGCAAATGGCAAGATTTCATTTTCTTGATGACTGAGTAGTATTCCATTGTGTGTGTGTGTGTGTGTGTGTGTGTGTGTGTGTGTATCCCACATCTTCTTAATCTATCCATCTGTTGATGGACACATGAGCTCTTTCTATAACTTGGCTATTGTGAACATTGCTGCTATAAACATTGGGGTGCAGGTGTGTCTTTGGATCACTATATTTGTATCTTTGGGGTATATGCCTTGTACTGCAATTATTGGGTCATAGGGTAGCTCTATTTTGAACTTTTAGAGGAACTGCTATACTGTTTTACAGAGTGGCTGCAACATCACTGCATTCCTACCAGCAGTGTAAGAGGGTTCCCCTTTCCAACATTTGTTGTTTCTGGTGTTGCTAATTTTAGCCATTCTGACTGGTGTGCAGTAGCATCTCGTTGTGGTTTTATTTTGTATTTCCCTGATGATGCTGAGTTGTGTTGAGCATTTTTTTTCTGTTGGCCATTTGGATGTTTTCTTTGAAGAAATGTCTGTTCATGTCTTCTGCCCATTTCTTGATTGGATTATTTGTTCTTTGGGTGTTGAGTTTGATAAGTTCTCTACAGATTTTGGATACTAACCCTTTATCTGAGCAAACACTTGCAAAAATCGTCTCCCGTTCTGTCAGTTGTCTTTTGGTTTTGTCAGCTGTTCTTTTGCTTTGCTGTGCAAAAGCTTTTTATCTTGAGAAGTCCCAGTGCCTCATTTTTACCTTTGTTTTCCTTGCCTTTGGAGACATGTCTAGACAGAAGCTGCTGCAGCCAAGAGGTTGCTTCCTGTGTTCTCTTCTAGGATTTTATTGGTTTCCTATATCACATTTAGGTCTTTCATCCATTTTGAATTTACTTTTGTATATGGTATAAGAAAATGGTTCATTTCATCCTTCTGCATGTGGCTGTCCAATTTTCCCAATACAAT